TGTGGTGACCCCTGTGTAATTTAAAAAATAAATTATTTTGATATTTGTCAGAGTTAAGCATTTAAAGTATTATGATGTCTTATGACAGAACATTTGTAATGATAGTCAAACTATTACAAAGGAAAGCTTGGTCCTTTGTGTCTGAAAGCATTAGAAAGTGTTACAAACATGGTTGGTTGCTGTTGCTTTTGTATATACTGCATTGGATGAATCAACATCTGTCAGCACCCAACTGACAGCTTTATTTTTTTATATATATACATTCGATAATTAAGCAAAGACTGGCTGAGTAATGGAATATTGAAACACATTCTGTCTGCTTTCAATGGGACTGGTTTGCACATATGCAGCAGAAGAATTTGGTTTTAAAGCACCCAAGTGATTGTCCAGAGCTCATCGGACCCTACCATCGTTGCCGTGTGGCAGCTTGTGGGCTTGCTCGTGTGAAATGTTCTCAGTTTAACTCCAGGAGAAGTTGCTGTCACACAAACTGACCATGTGAATTGCCCCATTGCTTGTTGTTTTGGTTTGGTAGAGCCCAAGAAGCTAATTTTGGTGTGAAACAGAATTATGCTTTATTCCGTGGAAAACAGATTTTAGAGAGAGGTTGGCTAGCTGGTAGAGAGAAACTTTCCCTGCTGCCAACAACTTTTCTGTGGATAGACAACTTCGATCTTCAGTGGTTTCAGTTCTGCTGTCAGATATAAACTTCGATCTTCAGTGGTTTTAGTTCTGCTGTCTAATATAAATTACTTTAAATAAACAAGGAGTGACTTCTCTGTATTTAGTATAAAATAATATGGTAACTAGATGTGCACTTAATATATTGTGATGGATATCTACATACCTGGGGCACCAGGTCTAAGTTTGAAAATGTTGTCAGTGTATTTAGAGTAATTTCAGTAGTTTAAATGCAGTAGCTGCATTTAAACTACTGAAAAAAAATCTGCTAACAGTGTTGTTTGTGGGTAAAAGTTGTTATTTAGGTAGACCACGTATCTTTTTTCTTTCTGTTTTGCATTTTATATTTTAAGTACAAGATATGATGTAGGCTGTAGGGTTAAGAAAGAGACTAGCCTCCAAACTGAGCCATGCCGACTATGCCAACAGATTGTTTTAACTAGCTGCTATTCAGATAGAAGTCTATTTTTAAGGAACTTCTAAATCCAGTTTGTAAGGTAATCATGAAATGATACAGCAGACCTTTGTACAGAGTTGCCATATTTTGAGTAGTTCTCATAACTCCCTTTTGATGCAGTATAACCCAGAAAGTGCTGCATGGTTCTTAAAGTATTGTGCTATTCAAAAAGTCTCAGGACAAAATCAAAAGACAGTGTACTATAGGTTAGCAAAAAACTATTTTGTAAAGGGTCCTTTTTGTTTCGCTATTCTTTTCATTCAGTGTTGCTAATGTTAAGAAACTAAAGTCATATCCATCATGAAACTCGTTTAAAATCATAATGCTTTGTCATATTTCTCATACCCCAGGATCACACAGGGCTTTGTAGAACCTATGCATATTGAAGGAATCATTTTTTCACTGCTGAAATAAAGCTACTGCTGAGTTTAAATGTCACTGGAGCCTTGTGTATTCCCTGCCTGTGTTCCTAACTCTAACTTTTATTTTACTTTTATAAATGTTTCTAATTTTCATAGTTGCAGAGAAAACCAAGGAAATGTGAACTGAATACAGACGGGTGCTGAGAAACCTCTGTGCAGAGTGCCCAATTTCATCTTAATATGGACTGTTAATTCTCAGACCTAAAGATTAAAATATGTCTGGCATATTAGAACTTACAGATGAGGACAGCCAAAATAAAATGAATTAATTATCAAATAAACCACCACCTGTATTATTATTATTAATTTTTGTAGATAATTGAATGAGGCAATCTGTTTTTTTAAATGCAGCTACTGCATTTAAACTACTGAAATTACTGCAATGTTCCAAAAATTTCCACCACAGCAATTCACTTTACCAGAGAATTTAGGTCCAGCTTGTCTCCAATGATATAAAACCTCTAGTATTGCAGCTGTCCCAAGCATACACACCAGGTTGTTTTTTTTTCCAGAATAAACTGAGAAGTCAAATTCTTGTTTTGTTTCTTTTTTCTTTATTTGCAACAAGTTCAGTTTCTCTGTATTTTCATCACCTCCTTTTTCTAACTTTGACCACTCTTAAAAAATCATTGTTAACCTGTTTCTACATACAGTTGAGTCCTATTGAGGCAGTCCCTTTGTGGAAAAATATATACACCTCAACATGCTTTCCAGTGTATGTATCAATGCAGTTACAATCGATATTTTATGTGTGAGCTTCGAGGGGAGCGGGTGGCTACCTGTATCCTCCTCTACACAGACAACATTCCACCATCCCATATTGGCTTCAAAAGGAGTTGCAAGGATTTTTTTGGAAAGCAGAATTGGTGAGAATCCTCCTGTGTTGGGAAGTAGAAAACAGGAGCTAAGACAAGCCCGAATGAATTGAAGGACTAATCGTATACACTCCATAGGTTAGTAGAGAGTCTGGTATGCTGATAAACCAGACACTTCAAATACGTTTGAAAGGGGAGGTGGGAACATGTGATGCAAGCAAAGTCTAATTGTGCGGGTTGTTTTTAAAAACTTCAGCCTCCTACATCAGAGGCGTGCCCCGTTTTGTGCAACCAGATCTACGTAGTTATACCTGTGCAAGTTCAATATAGACACACCCTGGTTCTCAAACAGAATGACTCAAGAGGAGGAAGGACTCCTAAGAAGAGCATATACTTTGCTTAGTTTTTCTAGCCGTGTGCCCTGGAAGAATTAAGCAGGATATGTCTTTTTAAACTGAATTTTCTCTTGCTCTATTTTCTATATCTCTTTTTAACAAGCTTGCTTATTTTGATGTGAGATACCTGTGAGAGATACTTGAAGGAAAGAAAATCTTCTGACCTTTTGTAAAAGATATTTGAGATGAAATAGGAGCCTACTGGGTCACTGTTGGACTGCAGTCGCAGCTAGAATCTGCATGGAAATGACAAGAGAGGGTGGACCTTAAGGAGCGGCAGAAGCACAGGACCAAAGGTTACATACAGTCTTCCAAGTGCTCGGGAGTCTGTGGGTTATGCAACTAAAAGCAGGTGTGTTATCTCCCCCTTCCCCTTATGAGCCAGGTGTAATAGAGCTGATGCACTGAGGACTACATAGCCGTGGGTGGTGTCAGTTACCGACCTGGGACTGAAATTTCAAACGACCGAGGGAGCCAGAGGACTCATAATGGCCATCGGTATTTGAAAATATCTACAAACAATCTTAGATTTTATGCTTAAATGAATAAGCAATGAAGCAGAAGAAGTGCAGCCCTTCCCGTTTCCTGATTTTTATTACTATTTTATTTAAAGTTGTAGAGACTGTTCCAGCGAATGCCTATGTGAATCTGTTCTACTTCAACCCTATGAACAACAGCACTGTGACTGACGAATGTGAATGTGGCCTGTATGGATTAAACTCCCCTCTGACTAGTGCTCAGGGACTAGTGGGCATTCCTAAATCTGCTAATCTTCTAGCCTGTGATTACAACACAGAGTTCACCGTCACAGAAACACCCTGGATAGCACTGATCGAAAGAGGCAATTGCACTTTTGCAGAAAAGATCAAATTGGCAACCAGAAGGGGTGCTGAAGCTGTTGTGATCTACAATGCCCCAAACCGTGGCAGTTACACCATCCCCATGTCGCATGTTGGTGAGTACTCCAGCAATCAACTTGGGGAGCCTGGTTAACTTCTATCTATGTTAAGATGCCATTGTAGACAGCCAGAGATGATAATACTGAAGTTACTGATGTGTTAATCTGCTGTTCTTGTGTTACTTAGTTGTTACTTCTAGTACAAAAAAAAAAAAAATACTAGACATAAGAAAACTATTGCATGCATTGCATATTCACTTCCTAATTTCTTAATATTAGCCTTAATATTGGCCTACTTCTGGCCAAACCAGAGCATCTTTTTTTTTTCTTAGTACTTGTCTTTACTAGTGTGTTTAGTACAGACAGTATAGACTCATAGCATTAAGAGGGACCTCAGGGTTCAACTAGACCAATCCCTTGCACAGATACAGGGTTCACTAACCTGTTCCATACAGATGTCCTTCCAGCCTTTTCTTGAAAACCTCCAGTGATGGAGAGTCCACAACTTCCCTGAACAGTCCATTTCCATGTCCTATGTTTGTACAGTTAGGATTTTTTTTCTTAAGATTTAATTTAAATCTGCTTTGTTGTAGTTTAAGTTTAATGTCTGTCGTCCTACACTCTGTGGCAGGGGAGAACAATTTATCTCCATCTTCTTTATAGCAGCCTTTCAGAGACTTGAAAGCCACTGTCATGCCCCACTTCCTCCATAATATCTGAACAACTACTGCCTTCAACCAATATGGCTTGCATTCCAACTCCATCTCCTCCTTCATTGCCCTGGATCCACTCGGTTCCCTACATCCATCTTAAAATATGGTGTCTAAAACTGAACACCATACTGCAGCTGAGCCCTGATGAGGGCCGAATGAAGTGGTACGTTATCTCCATTATCTTGAGTACAGTGCTTCTCTTAACAAAACCCAAAATTGCATTTGCTTTTCTTTCAACAGCATCATATGGCTGGCTCTTGGCAAGTATGTGGCCTACAGTCACCCCTGCCCCCCAAATCCTTTTCAGCAGTGCTGTTGCAAAGACAGTTACCCCCCATTCTGTAATTTAGCTTTGGTTTTTACTTCCCTAGCTGTAGCACCTTACATTTGTCTTTGTTGACTTTTTCATTTTTGTTGTCCATAGCCCAGTTCTCAAAATTATCAAGATCCTTTAGAATTTTAATTCTATCCTCCACAACAGTTGTATACCCTGCCATCTTGCAAATTTGATTTGAGTCATTTAAAAATGTTTAATAAAAATGTTTAAGCAACCCTGGACTTGCTAGAAACTGACTTGAGACTTCCTGACAGAATGACATTGACCCATTAATAGATACTCTTTGCTCATGGTTATTCAGTCAATTACAGATTTACATAATTATCATTAGATAATTGTAACAACCATTAGGTGCATCTATAAATGTCTGATTAATCATAAGGAAAGTGTACTGAGAGAAAAGTGTGGTTCTGCTTTGGATGTCTTAACATGCTTTGTAGTTAGTTATGATGAATGGAAGGAGAGAAATGATCCCATGAGTTTTTTTCAACTTAGTTATGTTATGTGCCATTAGGATAGGATTCTTTTTTTTAATAGCTGCCTTTGTGAGCTATGGCTGATGTTCAGCTTCTCTGAGGTTCTTTGGTCCATGTTATGTAGGAGGTGAAAACAGATGATCATATTGATCCCTTTTAGCCTCAATCTATGCATGAATCTATTTTTAGTGAAGAACTGTGAAGATACCATATTGCTTGGCCTTTATCCATGCACTTGTTCCTCTAAGCCCCACTGCCTAAAATATACATGTTAGCACAGATGTTCATCAGTAAAGTATAGTTAAGATGCCCCTGTGAAAAGCAACCTGTTTTTAAACTACATTCACTTTGTTTGCACTATGCTGGAAATTTTTCAGTTCAGGTTGTACCATTTGCTTTTATTAATATACACAAATTATAAAATATTTTATAAAGAGATGGTCCACAGCCTCCAAGAATGCATCCCTGAAGTCTGGTGGTTTCATTCTCAGTATTGATTACAACCACTGTAGGGAGAGAATCCACCTTCAGAGTTTGCATCTGACCCGTCAGTGAACAACCTGTCAGAGGAGAGGCTGGGGAAACTGGGCTTATTTAGTGTGGAAAAGACAGGGGGATTTAATAGCAGCCTTCAAATACCTGAAGGGTGTTTACAAAGACAATGGAGCTGGACTGTTCTCTCTGGTGGCAGCTAACAGAACAAGGAGCAATGGGCTCAAGTTGCAGCAAGGGAAGCCCAAGTTCGATCTTAGGAAAAACTTTCTCACTAGGAGGGTAGAAAAGCACTGCAACAGGTTACCCAGAGAGGTGGTGGTATCTCCAGCCTCAGAAGTTTTTAAGACCCAGCTTGACAAAGCTTTGGCTGGGATGATCTAGTTCGGGATGGTCCTGCTTTGAGCAGTGGGTTGACTAGATGACCTCCTGCAATCCCTTCCAACCCTAATTTTCTATGATCCTTGAAGAGAAGCCTCCAAATATGTGGTTTGATTCAATGTAAATACATTTATCAATATTGCGCTGGGTGCTTCACATATGTCGTGCTACATGGAAACAGCTCGGAGGAACTTCCATTCTAAACATGGATTGTGTAATACTGAAGGGGATGAATCGTGTATGTTACTGGAAGTAAATTACATGGAGAACCCTTGGCCTGATGTTTATCATATCTACACCTTTCTCTGAGTCTTCTCATATTCTGGTCGGCAGTGTTTACTAATGAAGTTTCAAATGCGTCACACAAAATATGTGAAAGTAGGGTCAGTTAACTAGGCAGACAAGGTTCTTTGGGTAAGATTTTACTTTACATATGGACGGAAAGCAATTTGTCTAAACAATTTGGAATAACCAGTTGGCGTTAATACGAAGGTCCTAATGTGACTTTGTTTTTTTGTGCGTAGGAGAGTGTTGGCTCATGTACATATGAGGAAAAAATAAATATACTGGATGAGGGTTTTAGCTGAATTTCTCATGGAACAAGTGAGACACCAAGTGGCTAATGGGGTTAATTCATCTAACATAAGACTCGGAACTAGATTTACCCACTTTACTTAAAAGCACACTTTTTGAGTGAAATTCCAATCTGGGTCAACGGGGGGGTCATGTGAACCATTTCTAAGATGAGGTTCTAATTTTAGATACAGTAACTTACAGGGATGTCAAAACACAAGTGTTCGAAATTTGAGCAAGAAAGGAGCTAGTGTAGGATGAGGTTTGAAGCAGGTCCTAGTTTCACTAACATATTTCTGGCACTAAAACAAGAGAGGGATGTTTTGGAGGTGTCAGGAAATAGCCAACTTCTATGTGAATAACAGATTCCATAAGAGATTTCTCTTCCCCGCCGCCACACATGCAAGCCCACTTTAAGGTCTATTGGAGTGACTTTTCCTAAGGATTTTTTTTAAGCCATTCCCTTCAAATGGTATCTTAAAACCAGATATATTTAATGGTAGTGCTAGAAGATAACAAAATCAATGTTATTTTCTAATGTGGTCACAGTAAAAGTTAAGTTCTAGGAGAAGATGAGCTCCTAATATCATCTGAATGTCCGAGAGACTTTTCCTTCTGGGTATGTTATAATGTGCTCTTTTTCCTCAGTGCTGGAATTTGTCTAAACCAGTGGTTCTCACCGTGTTTGGACTCACGGCAACCCCCATTGGACTTGACCCCTTCATAACTTTTGTGAACTGAGTGGCACTCAATTTCCAAAGCTAACATATATTGCAGTGCTTACCTCCTTACAGAGAGGCTGGGCAGCGGAAGAAGGGGCTTGGCCAGGCAGAGAAAGGCCTGGGTCTGCATTTATCATCTTATATCCTCAAACTTCACTTATCTTCACACCTTGCATCACTCTTCAAAGGATCTTGAGGCACCCTGTTTGAGAATCGCTGGTGCAGCTATAATATTAACATTGACTGTAGCTGTTGGTGCTTGTCACCATTTGAAAAACCAGTGTCTTTCATTTTTTTATGGGTGCCTTAGTATGGATTTAGGAACTTAGGTTTGAAAATGTTTGCCTGTGAATGAGTGGTAATATGTGCACTTCACGCTGAAGCTTTGTGTAGGTTTTCTATAATATTTACCCACAGGGGAAGGTATTTGTTTTTAGGAGTGCAAATGTTCTTTTTTTCTCCTAGATCTGCACACATTGAGGTTGGCATAGTTGAGATTTTGAGAGCTAGGGGGTCTGTAAATGCATGTTTGAACCTTGGACAATCTGACTGCTTCAGGCTCTTCAAAAATCCCAGTGTGGTGGGTGGCTAAAGGGAATGTAAGCACATACTGAATTTGCCTAAAGGTGGTTGATGCAAAAGACTGGCCTTACAGGCAAAAGAGGAAAGGCTTGGCCATTGCTTAGGTATGCTACAGGGATTTTTAAACAATATGACTGGGAGCCTAGCAGGATTTAAATAGCTTGCTGTAGGAGAGCATGTAATTGTAATTCAGAGGAAAATGCGTTTGCAAACTCTTAGCACTGCTGCAAAACAGCTCCATGAGATGTAGCCTACGTAAACAGCTCTTCTTGGACAACAGTGTTCCTGTATTATGATCATAGGCCAGCAGAGGGGGCTGAGCTCTCATGATAATTCTCTTTTCATTATTTTTGCACATCTTTTCATTTTCAAAATGAAATAGGAGGCTGCAAGGCATGAGTTTGTAGAGCAGACTAAATGAGACTTGAGCTTGACTTACAAAGCCATTCAAGGATAATGGCTAAGCTGTAGTATTAGCTGTGCTCTGAAATGTTTTCCCATGGTAAATGTATTGAGCCTCAATCAATGAAAGCTAAATCTTTTAGTGGTTAATGCTTTTATTATTCATAAAGCAAATTAGGTTTGGTAGTGTCATACATTTGGCAGCATTGCATTTCTGTCAGTCCACACAGTACACCTAATCTACAGTTGTGTTTGAAGAAGCTGGTGTTGCTTCTCTCGCTCTCTCAACTTGATTTCAGAGCACTCTGTGGTCTCAAAGTCTAGCTTTTGTTATCTCAGAAATACTTTTGAGATAGGCCCTTATTTGACTTTTGATGCA